ATCAACCTTGACTTTTCTTTTCTTTTTTTTTTTTTTTTTTTTTTTTTTTTTTTCAATGAAAGTATGGCTTCTTTGAGTTTGATTTACATTTCATTTCCATCTGTAGATATTGCCATATATGTATAGCTAAGGCCCTCTTGTAGATTGGTAGTCACTGAGCCCCAGGTTATATATATATATTGTATCTGTTCACTTCGTGTGTTTGAGTTTTAATGTGTTTATTGTTTTTAGTTTTTCTTGTTTACCTTATTTTTGCACTATTGAGTGACAAATTTGACTCAAAAACCTGTGTGTTGTGTGATTTGAGGTAGTACCAAAAATCTCATTCTTCCCCTCAGTTTCTATATATTTCTCATGAATATCATCATCACAAATTTATGGGGCAAAGTAATTTGTTCTAAACAATTGTTTTGCTTCACAACATAGTATTGCATGTTGTGCAGTGAAGTGTTCTGGAATTTTTAAGTAATTGGGAGAGTACCATTTATCGTTTCCAAGTAAATAAACCTTTCTTTCCGTTATGCAAGTGATTTACACCCCTTTTATACATGATCTCACATCTCTCGTCTTATTTTAAGGATATTTGTATGACCGAAAGTTGTTAACATTTCAATGTCACTGATATTGGGCAGTTTTCATGTTGGTAAGTGTGTGCTTCTGTAATGATAATGGTGTACTATAAAGGTTGCATTAAGACAGCTCATGAATAGTATATTTAGGGACAAATGTAACATAAATGAAAGTGGGATTAGATATGTTTTTAGCTAGCAAATCTGAATATTCAGAGAATTATACCAAGATGGAAAATTACATATACTAAGACAATACAAGTCATTGATGTTTTCTTTTTTCTTTTCTTTTCTTTATTTACATAACCAGAATTTTAAAGCTACCTATCATTTTTTACCAGATATGTGATTAATTCTTATATTTACCAGTATGTAGTAAAATAACAAAACACTTTAATTCATAACTCGATTGCCATTGCTTTGCAGTTGTCACGCGGACTTAGTGACTCCGGTCAGGGAAAGGTGCTAGAGGTGCTGCTGGATATGCGACGGCAACGCATGGGCCTCATCCAGACCCCAGACCAGTTGAAATTCTCATATCAAGCCATTATTTATGGTGCACATAAACTCAATGAAATGAATGGCAAGGTAAGGTCTTCTCCTCTCTCTCTCTCTCTCTCTCTCTCTCCTCATCCGTTCTCTCTTCTCTCTCTCTCCTCCTCTTCTCTCTCTCTCTTCTTCTCTCTTCTCTCTCCTCTTCTCTCCCTTCTCTCTCCTTTCTCTCTTCTCTCTCTCTCTCTCCTTTCTCTCTCCTTTCTCTCTCTCTCCTTTCGCTCTCTCCTCTCTTCTCTCTCTCCTCTCCTTTCTCTCTCTCCCCTCTCTTTCTCTTCTCTCTCTCTTCTCTCTCTCTCTCTCCTTTCTCTCTCTCTCTCTCCTTCTTCTCTCTTCTCTTCTCTCTCTCTCTCTCCCT